ATAATTCAAATCTATTTCTGTTTCCTAGAAACACTGTTCAGTGTAGCCATTAGCCAGGTCAAATTTTTAGCTTTAGTACACATCTAGCTCATTCCTCCTGTTATTTGTGGTTACTTCTTAAAAGGTAAATCAATGTACCTAAGAACACCACAGAAGTACAAATGGACATCAATGAAATACAGAGGGATTAAAGCACAAAGACCAAAGAAGCCACAGGACACTAAACTATATAAAATAAAATATATAGACAATTGTTTGTTTCGTTTTGTTTGTAATTAAGCACAAAGCTACACAATGGGCTATCTGTGCTCTGCCCACCACGGATATCGAAACCCGGATTCTAGCGTTGTAAGTCCGCAGACATACCGCTGTGCTACTAGGGAGGCCGTTTCAACTAAGACATAGTGGTATGAAAAATACCGTTACTCTTAAGGGAAATAGGTGTACCTGAGAGTACCACACGTTTACATTTTATCCACCATCTTGTTTCTGTTGATCTCATTGACTTCCAAAAATTCATTTTTTTTCTATGAATTCCAGTAAAGTACTAGTTGGATACTGACTCTCATATTAAATTTTTTATGAGTTATTTTACCGATCTTCACTTATCTCTATAATAAATTTCAGTAGGGTACTTTTACTTTTCTCGAGGGTAAAGCCTTTGTGGTATGCAGGCATATCATGTGTATTCCATCTTCTTATTTAATTAAATATAGATTTTTTTATTTCTTTTTTTTGTTTATTCTACATCTATACAGTGTTTTTACTAACACGTGGTTTACAAAGCTGTTTATTCAAGCTGCCTTTGCTCCTTGGCCATCAGCTGGAGATAATACGCGTTCTGCTCAAGGGCTACGAAGAGAAGGTCAAGAGGGTCAAGTTTGGTGACATCGAGAAAACACTCAATAAAGTCCAGGATTATCTGAAGGCGTCGACGGCGATCAACCGCGATACAACGTCGGGCTTGGAGAATCTGCTGGCGTGGTAGAGGTGAGCGGCAGTGGTGTCTCAGACGGACTATGGACTAAGTAAATATTTTCTGTATAGTTTGTTTTGTTTTTGAATTTCGCGCAAAGCTACACGAGGGCTATCCGTGCTAGCCGTCCCTAATTTAGCAGTGTAAGACTAGAGGGAAGGCAGCTAGTCATCACCACCCACTACTCTTTTAT